CCTGAAGAAAAGAGAGATATACTTAGTTCAGAGTTGGTATGGGCACTAATAATTTTTAACTGTATGCCAGACACCAGATCAAGATCTTTACGTGGATTCTCTTACTGTTTTCTGCATGTTGGTACCCTTTGGATAGAGGAAGTAACAGAGGCTGAGAGATTTTATGACAATGTTTGTGAGCTGAGATCCAAACCCACGCAGTCTGACCCTAGAGGGATGTGCTGAATCACTTTACCATATCGCCTGCATTCCTTTAAGTGATAAATTGTTGACTATTCCCTGAAACTTAGCAGAAATTTTCAAGTATACTAATGGTAAGAGAATTTCAAAAAACAACTGAGCAAAAAAGATTAGAGGCATTTCCTATAAAATTACATATAAAGGCACATAAACAATTATTCCATTTTATACAGTACTTAAGGAATTGTAGAATTTTAGTATTAGAAGAAACTTTAGAGACTTCAGATTCTAGTGATTTGTAGTCAGCACATCAGAAAGCTCCACTTTTAGTCTTTTTGGCTTTCAGTGGATGCTGAATTTTTAGAGTTTTGCCAACCAAAATTATTAATAGATTTATCAAGTGAAATCCACATAAATAATTTTTTAAAGTAGGTGTACATACATCTATACATAATCATGTGTAAATTCATAATGTCCCGATTTTACTAAGCATGTAGAAATACCTTCCAAGCCCATCACTAGGAAACCAATTTTTCTTTAATTTTTCTCTTTTTTCAAGCCTCAAATTGTTTCAAAAAGGCTTTGCCTGAATTGTAGGCTCGGTTTGGTTCTCCTATTATGTTGTATTTTCTTTCTTTTAACAATTATTACCCATAACTGTGTTTACTTCTTTGTCTGCTTGTACTCAGTGTTAGACTGCAAGTGCTTTGAGAGTGAGGCTATGTAGAAATTGTTTCCCAAGTCATCCATATAATCCAAAGGCATTTGTATAATCCAGTTGGACTTCCTTTCAGAAACAACTTTCCATGTCCTTCTTTCCCAGTTTATATAAAAATATCATAACAACAATTCCCTAATATCAAGATGGAATAAAGGAAGGCATCATTGTACCCTCCATGAATATGTTGTTCTCACTACTAAGTCATTATTTAATATATATATATATATCCCGCTCTTCTAAACTTGGATTTATCCAATACCAGTTCAGACATCATCTCCTTTCTGATTCAGACTTAGTTGGAGTCACTTCTGGGTCTCCCAGCTCTCTTTGGTGCCTCTTTTGAAACTAGTCCTGAGGGCTGGAGAATTATGCCTTTTGAACCATAGCAAAGAGAAAGGGATAGATCACCTCTGTCTTGCTATATTTTTCACTCTGTTTTTCCAGTCCATCAGCAACTAGCACCTATTTTGGGGGCAAATGGATGTTTCAGTGTAGAATTTGAGTTATAGCTTTTGGGAGAAGAGTGGGACTCTATGTTTAACTCTTCTCTGTCTTCCATCTCAACTTACACGATAGATATATCTACTAGAACATATGATCTGTGGCCTAAAGAATTCTAGGGTGGCTCCAGATCACTGCTTTCTGTTGACTTTATTCTGGGAAACTTATATGAAAAAAACTCTTTCAGAAAAGGGAAAGAGAACTAGAAAAGTGGTATAACTGTACATTTGCTTTTGGCTGTAGAATGACTCATGCTCTCTCTGGGAATTGACTTCCTTGACTAAAGGCACAAAACCAGGAGAAAGGTGCATACAGTGGGAAAGGAAAAAAGAACCCATTTGTTGGTAAATATAGTACATATTTGGATTACGCCTTTTTTCTATGCCAGACACGTGGATCAATAATAATTCAAATATGTTGCAATTCAAGGAAGTAGAAATTGATGTTTCTTTTTGTCAGATGAGGAAGCTATTATAACAACAACAAGGGTAAAAATAACAACAAGAGCTAATATTTATTGAGCCTTCTTTTGAAACTCTTTTCTGATGGGATCGTATGTATTAACTTTCCATATATTTTTTTTAATTTCAGAGTATTATGGGAGTACAAACGCTTTGGTTACATAAATTGCCTTTGCACCACCCTTTCCTTATATTAACTAATTTTCTCCTGGCAGTAACTGAAGGAATAGATACTATTTTTGCCTATATTTTATAAGTGAGGAAACTATAAGGTTGAACAATTTATCCAAGGCTACATGGTTGATAAGAGGCAGAACTGGAATTTGAATCCAATACTTCAGTTGTAGAATCCATGCTTGGGAAACCGAGGCTCACAGAGTTTGTGTAATATGCACAAAATCACCCTTCTTGGGCTAGATATTTGGGTCTTGAATTCAGATACATTTATAGTCTTACACATTTTGTTATTGATATTGTTTGTTTTGTTGTTCTGTTTATCATATTAAATACTATTATCCAGGGGGAAAAAGTGTGATCAGAAAGAGAAATGAAATTTAACAGTTTTAATTTTATATTATTCAAGAGCAAAATTGGCCTGAATTTCCAGGATATCAAACTTACACATTCACCTTTTTTTTTAGAATTCTCTTTAAAATTAACGATGCATTTCCTCTGTTTGATCAAAGGCAAAGTCAGGAACAAGCTGAAAAATGGCTTCCTCATCCTTTCCAGAGTTCTCTCTCAGCAAATGCAAAGCCTCCATTTCTCTTGTGTTCAATGAAACCAGCTTAAGCTAAAGTTTATTTTTCATGCTGCCGTTCTCACTGCCTACTGTTCCCAAGCAAGTCCCTTATAATAGAAATAAGTCAACTGGATTAGCAAGAGAGCAGCTTCAGGGACCCTGACATTTCATGAGGAACAACAGTCCTTTGCTTTTGCTTTATGCAGTTCTATCTCCCCACAGACAAAGCTAAACAGGAGAAAGAGGTGCTTCTGAAAGATGCTTGATTAGCACTTTCATTTTAAGCCCTTTGTTTAGACAGACAAATCCGATTCAGCTTATTCCTGTTGAGTGACACTAAGCTGCCTTTCAAAAGCTTTTGCAGTCTTAATTATCTGCCATCAAGTAATACCACCTTCTCAGAAATCCTGGCTAAAGGACACACAACCTTATAGTCAACACTTACATTAGGACCAATCAGGTTCCTTTGTAGGAATTTCTTGCCACTCTTCTATAAAAGGAAAATGCTTCAATACTCTAAATGTAAAAGATAGTTCAGAGTTTGCCATATTTTGACTTACAATGGAGATTACATTCCACTTCTGTGTTGTATTTACCCAAGGTTAAAAATGTGCTAAATTAATTAAATTCATCTGAGATAACTGCCATCCAAATGACCGGGAGTCCTATGAGTCAAATCTAATATGATTAATCAATTAAATATTAGGAAAGACTCTTTGGGGTAGGTGGGTTTGTTTGTTTGTTTATTTGTTTGTTTTTTCTATTTGTTTTGTTTTGTTTATTGCTCTGGCTTTCAAGAACATTAAGTAATTCACATCAGGTTCTAATTGAAATGTTAGCCAGTTGATCATACAGGTAAAACAGGTTAATTATCAGGTGGTAGCTGAATAATTACCTAGCAATTGCCATCTTAGATTACTGTTATAATTATTTTGGCCCTCTTCACCAAAACACAGATCATCCTTGATAATTACTTATGGATTCACTGAGCATTATTAAGAGGGGGTCTCTTAAAGGCTGAAACGAATAGTAATTACAGTGTTAAAATCAAAAGAAATAAGGTCTACATAGCTCCTCCAAATTTAGTGCAGGCTCTGCTTGGACATATTGTATATTGTTTTATTTTACACCTCATGTGGGAAATTATTGAAGGAAAATAGGGTCTTAAGTTGATTATTCAAATTTCAGTGATTCCTATGGAAGGAATTAATGAGGAAAGGAAAAGAAGGAAGGAGGAACATAGGGAAGAAAAAGGAGAGTAGGGAAGAAGAGAGATGATAAGTACCGACAGAGGGAAAATTGGAAGATGTAAGGTTGGAAGGGTAAAAGGAAGGGTTGCTAAAAATTAGTTTAAAAAAAATAGTCTAGTAGGCTGAATATTTCCCTCCTCCAAGAGATTTTTACAACCTAATCCCTGGAACCTCTGGATTTTGTCTTATGGCTAAAAAGGGCTTTGCACAAATGATTATGTTAAGAATCTTGAGATGGGGAGATTACCCTACAGTAACTAGGTGAGTCATAAATGCAATCGCATGTATCTGTAAAAGTGAGAGACAGAGGAATATTGGGCATGGACAGAGGAGAAGGCAAGTGACCATGGAGGCAGAGATTGGAATGATATATTCAGAAGTCAAGGAAGGCCAGCACCTAAAGGCTCCAAGGAAGTATGGCCCTACCTTCACCCTGATTTTGGCTTAGCAATATTGATTTTGGCCTTCTGTCCTGAAGAACTCTAAGGGAATACATTTGTGATATTGTAAGCCACCATGTTTGTGGCTATAAGAAACTAATGCAGTCATTTAGCCGTTCAGAATTTTAATGTATTGCCTATTATAGTCAGGTGCTGCTCTGAACACCAGGAAAAGAGAGAGAGGAGGTTAAGTGATGAGAAAGCATGATGAAACAAACATAAGTAAAATGACAAAAAGATTCTTTCAGATAGTAATAGGTTCTACAAAATGTATAAACAGAGGAATAAGAAAGAACATGATGGGGAAGAAGAGGCATGAGGTGGGGTCAGGGAAGGCTCTCCTGAGAGGCCAATATTTGAGCCAGTCTTGCGAGGATATGGTATTTTCTAACTTTTGAAATCATCACCACTTTTTAGTCTCAAAACAACTTTTGAAGATAATAAGAGTGATTCATATTTTACAATAAAAGAAACTGAAGCTTAGAGGGCTAAAATATCTGACCCAAGGTAATAGTGTTATGAGAGATAGGTAGCAATGGTATTCAAACTCAGATTGGTCTGTGGTAAACCTTAAATTTTTCCATGTGAAGTGCAGACAAAAAAAAGAATAATTGCACGGCAAGGATTAAGATGTCACAAAAAGTTTCCCAAATTTCCCTAGTGAAGATCCTGGATTTTCTATTTAGACCCACCATTATCTGACATTCCATGTTACCCAGGTCACAATGCATCAAGTTCTAGAGGGCATCAACAATTACCAGTTTAGACAGGATACTCCATGATTTTATGAGCAAAACCTACTCCTCCCCCTGGGTAAATGAGAATTCACTTCAACTATTACCAGCCCAAAGGTTCACCTCCTTTCCCTGCCGTTTGACTCAGCTCTCCCCTAAGAATCTTCCTGACACTTAAGTGAAAATATCATATGCAGATGAATGTGACAGGTAGGTCATTGCCCTAGAGTAAGGAGGGAAAAATGAGTTCTACTGCTGAAGGCCTAAAGAATCCTAATTTGATATTTAGGGCCTTTGGCTTGATTGGGCTGTGGCAAGAGAGAGGATTCAGTTCTGTTGTGTCAGTTTGCAGACTCCAGGGAATGACTGGCTGCCAGGCAAAAACCTGACTGACTTGTAACCAGCGGGGCGGGAGGCAAAGCACAGCACTCACACCGCGATTGTTAATGGTGGAGCCCGGCTGGCTACAGAGACTCCCAGGGGAGGCCTACAAGCCTGTCAGTGCTTGTCAGTGTCACTGTGACAACTGAACACTCAGGAAGGAGCTGTGGAAAAGAAGAGTAGCAGATAACAAGGCCACCTTGAGAAGTCCTATGCTTTGAGCACCTGGGAATACCACGAAGGGAAGTTGGAGGATGTGGTTCCTATTCCTAGCATTTGCCCACAAGAACGTGATATGTTTCAAAACCACAGATGAAGCATATGCGTCAAAAATAATCTTTGGAAGTATTACAGAAAGGTTTTAGAAAAAAAAGACTTTTATCATAGCCTAGATTGCCTTATAGAGAGGTAAAAACAACAACAATCACAATAGCAATGACAAAACAATAGCTGGCATTAATTTAATAAACCCACGTGCTGGGCTCTGTTCTAAGTGCTTTAGGCATGTGAACTCATTTAATCTCCACAGCAACCCTGTGTAGCAGGTATTATTCTTATCCCATTCTATACTTCAAGAGAATAAGAATGAGGCACGCAGTTAAAATAAAGGTGTTATTAACTTCAAAAGGATGTATCCAGGAATGAAGCCAGAGAGTCTATGATTACCTACACTGAGATGTAGGGTAGTTTTAGAAAAAGATCATAAGCATTGAGATGAGCTACCTGAAGTGGAATCCTAGTCCACCATGTGTTAGTTGGATAACCTTGAAAAAAATGTCTAATCTCCTTAAGACTCAGTTTCCTTATTTGTAAAATGGAGATAATAATACCTTCCTCATATGATTGTTGGGAAAGGCAATGGAATAAGATAGGTGAATTACTTAGAACAACTTCTGAACAACAGCAGGCTCTTGACAAATGGTCATGAAAGCATTTATTCAGAGATGTCTAGGCACAGTGTCTTGCTATTCAAGGTCAAACTCCTTCAGTGTCAGCTCATTTGTAAGACAGGGACAATACAGCTTGCATAATAGACTATGTAAAAGAACCATAGTCGATCATTTCTTTTAAGCACTTTGTAAAATACTGATCCCTGATGAAATATTATATAATTTTCATGATGCTATTCCATTACCATTAAAATGGGAAGAAAAAGTGTTTTGCTGTGAGGTTGGGGTCATGAAATTTGGATAAGTAACATGTAATGCATCTATTACAATGCCAGGCACATAGTTAGTGCTGAATTAATGTCAGTTCTCATTTTGAATTAATTGTGATTAATGAAGAATCAATGCCTTGCATGTATACCCTAATTTCTATCAGAGATTTCTTTTTTAATTGTTTGATTTTTTTTTTTTTGGCTCAAAGAAATTTATAAGTACTCTAGCCATCAGAAAAACTACTATCTTGTTACTGATCTTGTAACTAGAAGTTAGTAAGACAATATTTGGCCAAGCTTTAGCTATCTAGTCAGTTTTCTCAGGGGAAAAAAGAGGCAGTCCCTTGAGGACGATATTACACAAAATTGTTGAACCTGTTCATCCTCTAAATTCTTCTAGGAAAGAGCATGACAAGTCTGGTGAAGAAAAAGATGAGTAGAGAGCATGTGATTTTTTTGTAAATAATTGAAGGACCATACCCCTGCACTGTAGCTAATTTGAGGTAGTTGGGAAGAAATTGCTTCAGATTGTTAAAAAATACAAAAACACTCTCTTTCAGCTGACTGAGACTGCCACAATCTAGGTCATCTTGATATTCAACTGAAGAAAGACATCTACTGTTTGTCTGCTTGCTAGTTGCTGGGTTGATAATCTTCAGATGCAGTTTTTAGAAAAATCAATGATCACACATAATAGTCTTTGGTATCCCAACCTGCTCTTCAAAACTAGTTAATGGGCTGAATTCCTGTGATGTAGGCAAAGTTAGAAACAGCTCATTACTGGAAGAGATCATGTTGAGAAGTCTTGGTTGCTAGCTTTTTATGACAGCAACTTAGGGTAATCTCTTTCTCAGTTTGCTAAAATGCTACATAATATATGATTCCATAAGTCCTGATCAAGGTCTAATTAAACTGAGGAAGAACAAAATATCTGTGAAAGAAATGATATTTTTCTCATAAAACCAAGACCTCAGTTCTTTTACATGAAGTAGCATCTCTGATTTTTCAAAATACCATATTTGAGTAGGGGTGTGGGTGGGATATAGAAAAAGATAAGTTAAGGAGGTGTTCTCTGTTTCTTGGCTGATGGAGGTAGAATCTTAAGCACCATAAAACTCCAATAGCATCCTTCTGTTTCACTTCCCCTATCCACGTATCCATTTTGAAGAAGAAGAAACTGAGGCCAGATGTATGAGTTACTGGCACAAATTCACACCGTTACTGAATACCAAAGGGTTTAAATGACTTCCCTGAAGTTTCGCAAGTTGTTTTAAAAGGGTTTCTGGTATGCTCCAGGCAATTGGTTTTTTTTTACAGGGCTTCATTCACTAGCCTCCTTCAGAGACAGTTCTCCCTGCACTATATTTACTAAACTACCTCCAACATGTCAAGATTCCTTCCAAGACTTTATGAGTCATGTCAGACTCGGCATTTCACTATTCATGGAAACTCAGGCGACAAATTTTCAGCCAGTGGGAGTACAACATAAATATTATGTACAGTTCTAGCTACTATTCGAAAAAGTAAATTGGGAGTATGCACAGGAGACTGCCAAGAATGCTGAGGGTGACTCAGAGGTTGACAATGTATGAGGACCAAGTTGAAAATATTAGGAAAACCCTCATTCTGGAGAAGACTTTTCAGAAACTCTGAACAAAGTAAATAATAGTGGTCTTCTCAAAGATGGATTAACCTCATCCTTTATGTCTCTAATTTTTAGGGATCAGTAGAGCCAGAATATTTCAGAAGATAGGCTTCAACTCATTATAAGGAAAACTATGCTAATAATCGGGGCCTTCTATAGAACCATTGAGAGGTACAGACATGAAACCACTGAACCTGGAGAGAGGAATCAACCACTAATGAATATGTAGCCATGGGCTGGTCATTTATCCTCTCTTGGCCTTGGTCTTCTTTTGCAAAAGTGTGGTGTGAAAAAGCTTTTTTAAAGATTATTTCCTGATCTCAAATTTTAATTGTAATTATGATTATAATAATTAAGGTATTTCCACTGGGTAGACTACTACATGTCAGAGGTATTATAGGGGAATAAACCATCAAATGCAAGATGGAATTGAAATTACTTTGATTTTACCCAAACTAGATCTTTAACCTCTACTTTAATATTTACTAAGGCATACATAATAGACCATTTCACATTTATCATCTAAGTCTTAACAAAAATATAGTTAAAATGTTTATTGAGAGAGAAAAAGAATAAGAGAGAGAGAAAAAAAGAGGACAGAAGAGGGAAGAGAGAAAGGGAAATTTTGCTCTCTTTGTATAGATTTTTAGATGTTATAATACTCTGTCATTCTTGAGAAGTGAATTAAGATAACACTGACACACGGCATGTGACTTGGTAAGTACAAACATAAAGAACAATTAAAATTATATCAAACTGTTCTAGTGATGACATGATGGAAATCCTGCTGGGCATAGACACCATAATTTGCATCAGTAAAATCTCAGCATGAGATGTTGGATTCTATCATCAGAAATTCTGCAATTACTGCATCTGGAACTTTCATACAGTGGCCAGTGCTGCTGCTGTTTTTGTCACTTGGGCTGATTCTATGTATTCCCTGCTTCCTTGCATCACTTCTTCTTCCTCAGTGTCTAAGGCAAATATGCCTGAGTGTGGGAATTAGACACACTCTTGTTTCTATTTGCCAGAGAGGTTGATAAAATAAATGTCTGACATTTTCAGTTTCCAAAATGAAGGAAAAAATTTCTACTTCAAAAAAGTGAGACTTCACTAAAAAGAGGAAGGGGATTCAGATGGTAAACAGTCAAACAAATTAAAATGATGCATATGCATTGCATCCATGGAAGCTAAAGAAAGTGAATGTTTTAAGAAAAATGAAATGGTCAGTTGTATCAAACTCTGCAGAGAAGCCAAATAAATTAAGAACCGACATGAGATTTTTGAATTGTGCAAATATAAAGTGATTGAAACATTTTATGAGGGCTGTATCAGCAGAGTGTTAGGATCAGACGCTAGATGTTGTAGGCTAAGAAGTGAATGCAAAATAAATATCATAAATAGTAAATACACATTCACCCTGACTATTGATTAAGTTCTAGAGCAGGCAGATACAATATTTCATGTTCATCGACTCACAGGCACTTGGCCCTGTTTCCCAGAGGTGAATGCTATGCTCAGGCTGCCTTGTGGAAAGAACCACTGATGGGAATGGACCTCACGTGCTTTACATGTTAGTTCTGTTTGCCACCTTACTGTACACTAACCAACTACACTTTGTGAGTCTTTATTTGATTCTAGTCATATTTTAAATTTTACAGCTTCAGACACCTTGGTGATGGCTCATTCTCTCTGTAATAAGACAAAACAAAAAAAGAGCATCATATGTCAAATGAGGATACTGAAAACCTGCAAGGGCCATGGAACTTGGTACTATTGTCTGAATCAGTTTCCCATTTTTTAAAAAAAATATTTTATTTTTAATCAACAACCAAAAATTATATATTTTTATGTTGCTCAACATGATGTTTTGGTATATGTATACAGTGTGGAATGACTAAATCATGCTAATAAATATACATATTACTTCATATACTTACCTTTTTTGTGCTGAGAACACTTAAAATCTGTCTTAGCAGTTTTCAAGTATACAATATATTGTTATGAACTAGAGTTACCATGATGTAATGGATCTCTTGAGCTTTTTCCTCCTGTCAAACTGAAATTTGGTTTCCTTTGATCAACATCTCCCCAGTTTCTCTACACTGCAGCTTCTGGTAACCACCATTCTACTCTCTGCTTCTGTTAAGTTTGACAGTTTTAGATTCCACATTTAAGTGAGATCTTGTTATTTGTCTCTCTGTGCCTGGCTTATTTCACTAAACATATTAAATGTCTTGCGGGTTACCCCGTGTTGTCACAAATGACATGTCTTCTTCTTCCACTGGCTTCATCATTGACACCCCCTCTGCACATCTTAGCATCTTGAGATTGTTTCAGACTGCTTCCTTTTCTCTATTCTGTTTTGTTAATTTTTCAAAGAGATCATTTTCTTATTATTCTCTTTCTACTTTAGTTTTAAACATGGAAGTTCACTCTCATCAGGGGTTCAGATATAATTCCCTTTGGCCAGAGGTGGGATTTGCTTATTCCCTTCCCTGTGCCAGTAACCAATGTTGCTGAGCTGATGAAATTCTGGGTTTCTTCCGTGAGAAGGTCAAGCAAACTATTTAAAAGATATGCAGTTATTCAATAAATATGTTGTTAGTTTGCTCATTCACCCATTTATTCATTCATTCAACAAATATTTTTAGAGAAACTATAATTTTTAAGCGCTCTGTTTTCATTCATGTTGATTATTCCACTTTCGTACTTCTCATGATGTGTCACACAAAACAGGTGCTCAATAAACATTTGCTAAATAAATAAATAAATATAAATTCAAGGGACATATGCAACACAAAGATTGTTTATAAACAAACAACCTGGAAAAATAATCTAGTACTGTAGATTTGGTAGCATAAGTAATTATATAAAATTAATTTGGTTCATTAAACATTACTACCAAAAGTGTTATTTAACAGATAGATTAATACATTAATGATACAGAGGCATTCTTGCATGCTTCACATTGATGTTATCCGTGGAGAGGAAATACAGTCTTAAGGCAGCCACTGAATTTCTCACAAAATTGTAGATGTCAGAAATTGAAATGTCTGATGTCAAGCGAAAAAGGATGTGTCTGTTAGAGCATTCTGATGAGGGTTGGGCATGTGCTACTGGCAATAACAATTATCTCAGCAAGGTCTCACAGGTCAGAGTTCCCAGAAGGAGAAGTGGCATTTGGGAAATAAAATGTATTTAAAGACAAAGAATTAATATTGGCAAGTTATCAGAATGCCAGAGATTTATTCCATGAGGAAAAGAGCCAAAGAAGGAGAGTTATAAAACAAAAGCAGTGAAACAGGAAATAGAGAACAGTGGAGTCTAGTTGTGCATATTAACTTTTTTTGGTTTTTTTGGTTTTATTGGTAGCTGGAACATATAGCGAGTTCTTAGTTAACTGCTGCATTTCAATTTGCATCTCAAACCATGATAGAGAATTCTGCAGCAAAGCAAGAAATTAGAATTAGAAAGTTTAGGTACTTTAGATAAATTTAATACTAAAATATCCATATTATGGTGGTAACTGTCAATGTTACAGACAATATATGAAAAGCTAATATCTGAGTAGAAATATTACAAATTCAGGGCTTTTGTATTGTTTTCAACTTATCTCTTCTGTTGTGATTAGAAGATTTAAAGCAAGGATTATCTATGTTGAAACATCCATAGGAAAACCTGTGAATATTTGGTAATTTAAAAGCAAAAATAATAAATTTAAATCTATGATCATTTTTAGCACATTTCTAAAGTATTAGGGAGTAATAATTTTGGAGAGTAACAGATTTGTGCTTGAGACCTAGCTCCATCCCTTACCAGTAATTTGATCTTCATCTGTTTAAGACTTAGTTTCCTTTTATGAAAGTAGAGATAATTATAGGAACTGCTTCACAAGATTCTTGAATTATTAAATGAGACTGCATTTAAGGCACTTACCTCATGCCTTAACATGTTGTTATTGGCTATAATGACCAGTAATGGTCACGTTGTAGTGTTTATGTTGATTTTTATAGTGTTTCTGTTGATTTCTATAGTGTTTATGTTGACCATCACTACTGTTAGTCTTTAGATGCAATTGAAAGCAAAAGATTGGCTATCATGTTGCCTCCTCTTTTGAAAGTTGTTTTACCATTCTGTACCTCAGTTTCTTTACCTGTAAAATTAAGACAGTAAAAAACAGTGTTGATGTGAAGTTTAAACACATTGTAATCAAAGATGCTAGGCTAATTTTGTGTCCATATAGAATGAAATGATACTTGACCCATACATCAAACCACATATACTTAGTAAACACTCTGTAAATGTTTGCTTCTTATGCTATGAAACAGAAAAATTTCATTTACCCCTGTCCTCTCTTACTTACTACCTCTAAATATTTATTTATATCTCTCAAATCCTTTTGCTTCTAATCCCATTCCATCTACCACCTTCTTTCCCTTGGAGAATTACAGTAACCTCCTGAGTCTTTCTGTATTTAATTAATTTATTTTTTCAAAAATGCTGAAACTATTTTTAATGACATGTCACTACCTTCAGAATTTTTTTTATTTTTAAATATGAAATAAAAAACCAATAGTAATCAATCTTAGTGTGGTATTTGTGCAAGTTTAGACTTATTGATCCATAAAATAGAATTAAATAGCCCAGAAAGATATACATATACACATATATTTATTACTAAGTAGACAGACAACTATTCATTTGATTTTGATAAAGGTGCAGAGGCCATTTAATGAAAGAAAGGCAACCTTTCCAACTAGTAGTGTTGGGACAAGGAGATCTCAATATGCATACCTTAACTCACACTATACACCAAATAAATAAAAATGAGTCATAGACCTAGATACAAAAATTAAAATTAAAATAATGCATAGCAATATTTGTACATTTGAGTGAGGAAAATATTTGTTAGGACATCAAAAACACAATCTATTAAAAATACTAACATGAACATCATCAAAATTAATGTCTTCTACTGAGAAAAACACTTAAGCAAATGAAAAGAAAAGCCACAGACTGGGAGAAAATGTCTGCAAAGTACATAAATGTTAAAAGTCTTATGTGTTGAATATATAAAGAAAGAACTCTTTATGTAAAAAATACAAACTCAAAATTCAATAGTAAGAGCACAATCTAGCAAAACTGGCTAAATTTGAGTAGCTACTTCATCGAAAAAGGATGTTTAGAAGGCAAATAAGAACATAAGAATATGCTGAACATCACTAGTCACTAAGGAAATACAAATTAAAAAACGCACTTAGATACAACCACACACGTATTACAATGGATAAGTACTTGTAAAATGACATACTGGAAGGCACAGCTGTAGCTCTTGCACATTGCTAATGGAAATACAAAAAGGTACAGCTACTATGAAAAACAATTTGGGGATTTTTCATAAAGTTACATATGCTGGTACCAAACAACCCAGAACTCTTACTCCTCAACATTTACCCTAAGACAAATGAAAATGCACAGTCACAAAAACACCTGTATGTGAATGGAATAGTGGCTTTATGTATAATTTAAAAACCCTCGGACTATCTCAAATAGCCTTGATCTGGTAAATGAATGAACACATTGTGGTATATCGTATATCGTGATGGGAATGATCAGTAAAGGTTGCTGCCTAGGCATTAGAACACCACACCCAAAAGGTTCAAGCCAGTGGCCAGATTTTCCACCTAGCAGATGGGGGTCCCTGCTTTCTTACCACTTTCTTTAAATGAACCACTCAGACATTTGCCCATGGAGTGAAAATTTCTATTTCCTTATGAATATATACTGCTAGTTGCCACTCTCTCTCTTTCCCTCCTTCCTTCCTCTTTCTTTCTTTCTCTCTCTATCTCTCTCTCTGCCTAACTCTTCATCTCTGCTTCTTGTGACCTGGGAACAGAAGACTGTCCTCCCAATTCATTGTATAATTCCTGCTTAGGATCTGTGAGTAACAACAAATCTTTAAACTTCTTTTCTATTTTGATAGTGTATCGAATTTGTGCCTTCCATCTGAAGAACCAGGGGCTGAGGCTGGGTTTTCTCTGGGATGCCAGAGAGAACACAAGGGCAGGCACTCAGAGCTAGAGTGAAGGTAAGACAGGCATAAACTGGACATGAGTTATACAAGACCCACAGGGCATCTGCCAGAATAAACAAGTTTCCTGTTTGAGAGACTCCTCATCATGGATGAACAAGGACAAGTAGGCATTAGGCTATGCACCAGGTAAAAGAAGTATACCATGAAAGGTACACTATATATTTTTTCTTACTCCAAAAGAACTACTTTATGTAAGGTACATTGTAAATACAAATGACCAGTTCGCCTTCATTTTCCATTAGGATAGGGTTACTAGCCACTCTGGTACTAGAATCCCAATTTAGCTGGTATCTCTTGAGACATATATACACACAATGAAATTCTGTGTGGCAATAAAAAATGAACTACTGACACATTCAAAAACATAAATGAATCTCAAATCAAAGAAGCCAGAATCAAGAGGCTATATATCATGTCATTCAATTCACATGACATTCTGGAAAAGGTAAATTATAGATACAGAATACAGATCATTTGTTTCTAGGTTTTACAGGTGATGCAAAATGTAGAAGGGAATTATTTGGGGGTAAAGAAACTATTGTATATTTTGCTAATGATGGTTATTCCATAAATGTATGGTTTTGTAAAAACTTATAGAATTGTGAAACAAAAATTGTGATATTCTATATATTTAAATTATTTTTTTGTTTGTTTGTTTTTTTTTTGTTTTTTTTTTGAGACAGAGTCTCACTTTGTTGTCCAGGCTAGAGTGAGTGCCGTGGCGTCAGCCTAGCTCACAGCAACCTCAAACTCCTGGGCTTGAGTGATCCTTCTGCCTCAGCCTCCCGAGTAGCTGGGACTACAGGCATGCGCCACCATGCCCGGCTAATTTTTTATATATATATCAGTTGGCCAATTAATTTCTTTCTATTTATAGTAGAGACGGGGTCTCGCTCTTGCTCAGGCTGGTTTTGAACTCCTGACCTTGAGCAATCCGCCCGCCTCGGCCTCCCAAGAGCTAGGATTACAGGCGTGAGCCACAGCGCCCGGCCTATTTAAATTATTTATCATTACATATACATATCATTTAAAATATTCAAATACATGAAATACTTATAAATTTAAGAAAACATGTGCAAGACAAGTACACTTAAAGTTAGAACACATTATTGAGACCTTGTATCAAAGGAAAGCAACACAATTGAATTAGAGTTAAAAATCCCCATTGCCTCAGGGTATTCTCTTGAGGTAATTAGGTAGTCTTGGGTTTGCTATTAGTATTTTATATACCTCACAAATATTTGTTGTCCTGAAATACTGAGGAAGCTAATCTACTAATTAAATCTCTTATTTTCCCTGTTTATAAAATGGGGGAAATATTACCTATATTATTAACAGTATATTACCTATATTATTACTAAAATAGTGCCTATGATTATTAGAATGAATGTGAATTACCTGACCTGTAGTATGCATTCAATAAACAGTAATCATGAAAGAATCCAGCAATTCAGAAGAAAAGTACATTATTATGAAAGCCTAAAGGGCCAGCTGGAAGAATCGATACAAGCCACTTTCTTAGGTCTTGAAGCATAATTGAGTTAAAACACCGCTATCCCCATCTGTAATTCCATTAATAGGTGCCAGGAACTTTAATCAATGTGCTTCAGGCTGGCCTGCCTGGCCAGGCACACGCCTATTTAAAATGGAGACACCTACATTTGTAAGAGTCAGAGGTTGTCACAGCAGGGGGATTGAAGAATAAGCCTCGACAGAATGAAATGGTTACTACTTTGGAACTAGAATCCAGCCAGGTTAATACTACATTAATTCTCTTTCAAAGCAATTAAAGGAATTCCATTTGTATTTCTATTTCCTATTTCCCAAATAGACATGCCTCCACTCTTAAGTTTATTATATAACCCTATCTCGAATCACTTCCATTCCAAGATGGAAAGTCCAGAATTATTTATTTTTTCCTTCTGGACCACTCAAATTTTGAAAGTCCATTTCAATAGGTCAAATTTTAGAAAAATCATTAAATTTAAAAATTATTTTTATGTATTACCATTAACAGATGTTCTTTTAGTAACAAAACTTATACTGGTTCAATTTTGAATGATGTGTTTTTATAATATATTCAGCTCTCAATCTGCAAACTACAACTAATAAATTGAGAAGATCAGGTTTTCTCCTCCAAACAAAATAGGACAAAAAATTGTCCACTTACCCCTCTTTACCCTGGAAAAGGTGTTAAGGGTTGAAGTAAGAATAACAACTTGAGATTAATTTTTGGAGGGAAGGTGGGAGGATGAGAGGAGAGGAAGTGGGAGGGAAAGAGAGAGACAGACAGACAGAAAAAGAGGCAGCAGCAGAGAATATACTTTGATTTCATGGATGGGGATGATAAACTCCATCTTTCAACAGCACAATGCATCTTTTAAATAGCACTCAAATGATGTAGTGATTAGTTAATCACTGGTCCCTATATTCAAATCTACCTGAACTTCCTCTGGAGCTTGTGTTGATATAGAAAATATTCCATAAGCCTTGTATAGTGGCTCTGGATCAATTTTTGAAGGCAAAGAAGACAAACATGTGGGCCATTTTTAGTCTTTTCAAAATTTGATATAATTGCCTCTCAAACCCATTGACTCCCTCCATACCATTCTGTCTTTATTTTTTCACAGTTCAAATATAAGTAGAGGACCTAAGAATATACTGAAACAAAGGACGTGGAATTGAAACCTTGAGAAATTCACAGAAAAATGAGGACCTCACTCTAATTCTAAATAAAAAGGGGGAGGTAGGAAGGCGGCAGCTCTCATCCCATTCCTACACACTCCAGTGTCCAAGCACAGCTAAGACTGGTTGAGTGCTCAGTACGTGCCAGTCATTGTTCTCAGTACTTGGCTTTGATGAGCTTTTTTTACACTTCTCAACAACTATGTGAGGCAAGTGCTATGACTGTCCCATTATTATTAAGGACATTGAGGCACAGAGAAAGTAAGTAACTTGCCCAGTTTCTCTAGCTGGTGGGAGATAATTCTGAATTCTGACCTGTATGGTTTGGCTTAAAGGCCTGTACACTTAAATGCTATGTTACAATGCTTCCAGAAGTAGGAGAAGAGGAAAATAAAGACCCAGAATGGTTTTTATAGCAACTGCCCTAACCACTCAGCATCCTTACTGCCCACCTACCAGTCATATAAACCCCCAATGCTAGCCTATAACAGAGAAGAAGAAAGAAGCGTGTATTTCTAGCCAAGTGACAATGTCATCAGACTTGCCTTTGAGTCTTAGCCAATTTCAAGCTGGGGAAACCACAGGGCCTCAGCCCTTTGGGCTTCAGTTTCCACTGAAGTAAGATGAGATGGTGTCTCAGGGTGCTTGGCCATCTTCATAGTCAAGAAATAATTATCATCGTGGATTATGTTGGAGTACATGGAATTTGGTAGAATGGACTCATGTTTTTCTACATAAATGGATCCTCAGCTTTACACATGAGGATGTCTTCACTGGCACAGCTCATTGAGAGAAACGTCTAGGTGAATCTTTTAAACCTGATCTCTAGTGGCATTCATTTGAATGAAAGGTATAAACTTATGCTAGAAGATAGAATCTGGTGACAAGAGGGGCAGAGAACTTGGGTCACAGTGAACGTACACTTCTCACTTCAAAGTAGCAACTGGAGTGCTATGTTGTATGACAGGAAGGTGAATTCTAAGAGGCCCTGAAAAATTGGCAAATTCATTAGCATAGGGAATTGGCTACCCTGATTGCAAATCGATGACTCATTTTAGCACTCTCCTGACAGTTACTAAGTTGTTTCCTTAAGACAACTCTTTAATGAGAAAAAAATACTGCAAGTACTGCAGATATGAGGTGGTTGGCTGCACATGAAGATAGCAAGCAGAATATGGCCTCAGTTATAAGGCCGTTGATAAGCTGAAGCAAATAAGCCGTCCTTGCAAAAATAATTACCTCTCTCTCCTTCCACAACACAGATACTTTCTTATCGGTTAAGTCTATTCAAAATTAAGTACTATTTTCCAACCAGCATTCTGCGCCTCAAAGCTGACACAGCACATATGTCTATTAAAATATCAGACACATACATTAGCCAAAAAGAAGGAAAAAAGAAAGCAATGCATGTGATAACATATTCAATCATTTCTTTAAAAACGAAGAGCTGGTACTTCTCTAGGCATCGTATTACACACTGAAAGCACAGAAGTGAATGAAGAAGACAGATTTCTTTCCCATGAGGAAGCTCATAGTCTAGTAGAGGAAATAGAAAAACACACCCATGATTGCAGTAGCCTGTGCAAAGTGTCCTGGTCAATGCCAATGCACTGCACTCCCAGAGCACAGGAGGGACATCCTAATCCCTTCAGGCAACCAGAGAAAGGGCCTTGGAGGCAGTCAGTGCCACAAGCTGAATTTTGAAGGAGAATCAGATTTAGATGAAGGGGCCAAAGGCCATCTCAGGCAGAGAAAGAGGCTTATGAGAAGATCTACAAAGAAGAGTTCTGCACGAAATGGGATGTCAGACTGGATAACATTTCAGAGTTTCCTAATTTTAAGATTTTATTATGCAGTATTTGTTGAAATGGGCTTTATCAACGTTAAAACAAACAGATATACTAAAAGTAGTTAAAAAAAAAACCCCACAGAAACAAAACAAAAGCACCCATTCTCAAATCAAGCATACAATTACCACTGCTGACACCTTTTCCTTTTGTGTATATAGTATTTGTTAATTTTTCCCATCTCAGAACGTGTATATAGGTGTCCTCAGATGTAGGTCAAAGGGTACAAAGTTGCAGTTGTATAGGATGAATAAGTCTAAAGATCTGATATGCATCAAGACTATAGTTAATAAGAATATACCATGTACTGGAAATTTTCTAAAAGAATATATTTTAGATGCTTTTTATCAAAAGAAAGTCACTATATGTAATGCTTCATATATTGATTTACTTAATTGTAGTAATCGTTTCATTATATGTATATGTGTCAAAACATCATGTTGAATATCTTAAACATTCACAATTTTAAAAAGGAAAGAAATTTGTGTGAAAGACTTTCATGACAAAACAATGAAAAGAAGGTAACAAAGAATATATTTTGAAAATATTTATGCAATAATTATATATAGGGATATAAACTTATACACACCATATGAAATAATGTAGAGTGGTTAAATTAGTCACAATACATCCATATAATTTAATAATGTGTAGCTTTTAAAAGGGATTGTAATTTGTACATATTTTTATTAAAGAAGTTGCATGATACATTATCGAATGAATAAACAATCTGTGAAAATGTATGTCTAGTAGGATATATTTTTTTGTTAAACACAAAGCAATTGTATAATTCTGTGTGTAGATGTGTATGAGTTGGTTTAGAATATGTGTGTAAAACCATGACAAACAGTTGTTAGTGATCATTGTTGCTGCTGGAAAGATAGGAGGGGAGAGGTTTTAGGGACCTTAACTTTAAAAATAAATTACACATTTCATTTCTTTTTTAATAAAATCCTTTCTAAAAATGTTTAAATATAAAAATATTTTCTTATGTGTACTTTATGTACCATAATATGTTTATGTTTTAAATATACATATATACATATATTTTACATGTATCAACCTGTCTATCTAATTTTTTTTAAGATTTTAATTTCCTATCCACTTCCACTATGTTTTATTTCCTGGGCCTGATTTGGCTTTATGTTTTCCCAAGACCATGTGATGATTTTAATGACCATCATATCTCATAGACTCTCTGGCTGGTTTTTATGTGACATGTTGAGCACAAGGGTCAACACATTTATAACAACTGGCCATGGTCAGCCATGCCCCGGAATCCACCAGTATTGGCCCACTTTGGCAGACTCGCCCAGCTAATTCAATGTAGCGCTTCATTCGCCAAAATGGTTTATTCAGTTTACTTCTATTTCAAAAGAATTTGAAATACTTAATATCTTATAGTACAGAAAAGAAAGATTGTCTCTCACTCAGAATTGAGTCCTTGTTGCCAATAGCCAGGCCATATGCAAGGTGCTTTCCTTCCCAATGCCCAAATTACGCAACACAGGAAATAAGCAGAGGAGGTAGTGTATGTTGAGTTGCTTCATGAAAATGAAAAGGTATATGCAAGGAAATTTTATTATTTCCTGGACCTTATCATTTTTACTACTATTCAGGTAATACTTGGAGGACAAGTTTATGACTAATACCCCTGAGAATCACCTTCATTCATTTATTCAAAAAAAGTGTTTATTAAGCATCAACTGTGTTCCAGGCACTGATTTTGATGCTAGGGAAATAATAGTATAAAACCATTAAAGGAATCCCTACCCTAAGGGAGTTTACTTCATACTGTAAGGACACACACCAAAAACAAAATAAGTAACTAAAATATATAGTATTATATTTCATTAATCCTAAAATTTTCATTGTACAGTCAATCACATGTCATGGTTTAATAGTGCTTTCAGGTGTACTTTTTTTCCCTAGTGGCACATGAACAAATGTTTCATCCCATAATCATTGGTGTCCAAGACTTGCTAATGTGTGGAGTACTATGGCGATGAAAAAGCAGAAAAGGGATCAAAGGAGATGTTAGATTTCAGCAGGGAATGAAATCCTTATAGGATCTCATACTTCCATGGGGTTGAACTTCAAACAGAAGTCTGCATGAGCCTGAGCTTCAAGTCTCCTACAATACTGGTCTCTACTATTCTCAAGAAACCATAAATAAGAGGGTTTCTGCCATAGTTTCTCTGGATCCTTCAGAGTCTTCTGAGTGGACATTATTCATGAAACATTTAACTAAAACACGATTATTATGGTAATCTCCAAACACTTCCATTTTTATCATTACACTTTTTTCAAAAAAAGGTCTAGTCATCAAAAAAGCCAAGATACTAGACATATGTATTAGATAATAATCACTATCATTTATTAGGGGTGAACTCTGTGTGGGACAGTTTGCTTTAAATGCATCATCTATAATTCTCACAACCCTTCAAGGCTGGTGTTATCATATCCATTTTACAGATGAGAACATGCAAAATCTGCAGAAGATACACAAGGACAAGTGTGGCATGACATATGTGGGCCTCTGGAGCTATTTCCTCATTACTATACCATGATCATTAGGAACATTGACAGGGGCCCTGACATTAGGTAGTTTCCTATGTCAACAAGGGAAAAATAGAATCTTACCTAGGGCCTCTTATTATGCTAGTCACTGCACTAGAATATTTCATAGCAATTGTAGCCAACTATGCTTACCAAAGCAAGGAATAGGCTCTTGCATTCTATAAAGACTGAAACAGGTATTTTTTTTTAAGAGAAAAGGTGAAGTTGATAAATTCTTCAATGCCTTTATTAATTCAAAATCCTAATACAAGAATAAAAAAAATAGTCAACATTTTACGATATAGCAAAGAAAAAGGGCTTTGGAATAGATGGATCTAGATTCAAATTCCACCTCACTTCTCTCCTTTACTTTTCATAAAGAGCTCAACTCTCTGAAGCCCATATTCTCATCTGTTAACATAAGAGGAGGCTGCCTGCCTTCTGTGAGGACCAAGTAAAAATGTATGTAAGAAAATATTACTGAGTCTATAAGAGGCAGCCAATATTATTAAGGCAATCTCTGGGGTGGAAGTGTGGTGTAGTGTAAAAGCAGTGGCAAGCAGAATAATGGCCTCCCAAAGATGTCTACATCCTAATCTTTGGAACCTGCAAATGTGGCACATTATATGGCAAAAGAGAATTAAGGTTGTAGATGGAATTAAGATTCTAATGAGATGACTTTAAAACAGGCAGATTGTACTGGGTTATATGTGTGGATCCAATGCAATCACAAGAATCTTTAAAGAGGAAGAGGTGATAAGAAGAAAAAAAGTGGAGAGACGGAAACATGCAAAGGACTCAGCCTGATGTTACGGGCTGGATGGTGAAGATGGAGGAAGAGGGCTGTGATCCAAGGAAAACAAGCAGCCTCTCAAAGCTGGAAGGAACTAGGAAACGGATTCTTTATTAGAGCCTAGAAAAGGAACACAGCCCTGACAACACCTTGATCGTATCCCAGTGAGAGGCATTTCAGATTCCTGACCTCCCGAACTGTGAGAGAATAGATTTATTTATAAACTACTAAACTTGTAGTAAGTTGTTACAGTAATAATAATAATAATAACTAATACAAAAGCTAACGGCCAGCAAGCCTGGATTCTAACTTCTGCTCCGCCACTG